AAAAAAAAAAAAAACAACCCAAAACCAAAAGCATTTAAACAAAACATGCAGAGCCCATCTATACACTCTGGTGCACAGACTGTGCAGAAACACACATTTTTCAAGCCTGAATAGCACAGCATAACTAAAGGACATAGGCCTTACTTATAGAATATTAAATATTCTGTCTTCTTGATACTGTTATCAAGAAGACATTCAATAGGAGAGGTCATAATCTCTTTTAAGGACATAATTTGCATCCAAAATTATCTTTAGCAATTGAAGAAGTAATTTAGAAACGCTGTCAGGAAATTCAGCAGTTGAGCAGCGTGGTTCATACACGAGCAAGAAGAACCAAGTGCATAATTACTGGCACAGCAGCAACACTGCTGGAGGAGACGTCAGAGAGCCAGAAGTCACCAATGTCACACTGCTGAAGTCAAGCACCGTGTCACCAAGTATAAACACAAGTCCCAGTGATAGAAGAGTACTGACTGTAATGCTGACACACAGGTGAGGCACTTGAAGTTAAGCACAGACAAATGAGAGGGAAAGTCCCAGATGAGAGCAGCAACAAACATCAAAAGCTCGAATGAATGGCCTATAAGGACACATAAAGACATCAAAACTTCAGCTTAGCCTAGAAAAAGGGATGGAAAGGCAGTGACATGCTAACAGCCTTCACTTACATAAAAGATTGCTATAAAGAGGATGGGAAATTTTATTTTTTCCTCCTCTTTCGCTCTTTTCTCAGAAGGTAGGTTAAAAACTCTGGCTTAATTCAGAGTAAAAGATTCTTAGACTCATGCAAGAAAAAGCTTCATAACACAGCTAAGAATGGCATAGGACACCCTGCAAGAGCTCCTTTCTAGGCAAGCACTGGTGCTGGGAATTGGCACAAAGCAGCACTGAGGGCAGCTGCCCCATGGCCCAGCTCACAAGAACACAGACATGGCAGGGACATGGACAGGATAACAAACTGCAAGGAAATAAAGCAAAGGGCTTTGGCTTTTGGGGGTTTGGGGGTTCTTCTGTTTAAGCCTTATTTTGAAATTGATTAAACAACAGAATTGTAAAGTAACATTAAGAGTCAGACAACGTTCTCAGGCACATGGTGGGATTTTTGGGCAGTCTTTTGCAGGGCCAGGAGCTGAACTTGTGGTCCTTGTGGATCCCTTCCAGCTGATGATATTCTGTGATTACTGCAGTCATTCCAGTTCTGCAGTGATGTCATGCTCTGTTGTGTTCCTGCCCACCACCAGCAGGCAGAGCTGACAGCAGTTATGTGAGAACCATTCCATCCATCAGATCACCAATGCAAAACACAAGTTTGGTAGAAAGAGAAAACTACTGTCTTTTCTAAGCACATCTCATCCCCATACATCCTACTGCATCCAAGATCAACCATCATCATCAGTGAAACAAAAGAAAAAGGCAAATTCACCATCCAGCACACTGAATAGCTTAAAAAGATGTTGCTGGTCAATTTTCAAGTATTTATTTAGAACTTGATTCCAGAAAGCAGGCTAAGACTCTTCAACATGTCAAAGGCAAATGTTTTGGCAGACACACAGAAATAATTGCAATTGTATTTTATCTATTGGGAGCCAGACCTGTGCTAATGCTGATGCTTTCCAAAAAACCCTAAGATGGTAAACATGTAAAGCAAAAACCATCAGAGAACTAACGGAAATTGGAAGTACACCTTCAAGACAGGTGAGGCAATTTCACACTGCCCTTTGCCTTGCTTTTAGTGTAGAAAAAGGCACATAGGCAATTAGCAGTCAGCTCAGCTGATTCTCAAAATCCTGTAAGCTCATAGAGCTAATGTGGTGTGCTAAACAATTATTTCAGCAACACTGAATGGCCAAAAGTCGTAGAGAGAAGTGAGATGGATGGCATCGTTTGCACTCACTTGAGAAAGCCTAAGAAGCACAGAAAAAGGGTTATTGATTTTCTTATGATCATTCAACACAGTTCAAGGGGAAATCAGCAATGTCAACACACTATTTGGCTGGGGAAAAATGAAATTGTTTTCAATATCAGCTGCCTGCAAATTTAGTTGGTCTCAAGACTGCAATAAAGCTTAGAGGTCCTCTTCTGAAAAGCCATTTAATTTTACAAAAATGTGTAACTGCTATGTTTAAAAACTATTAAAAAATATGAAGATCAGACCTTTTCATTTTGTTAACTATATGAAATTCTGCAATTCCTCAACTTAGCTGCATGAGTCCAACTGAAGAAAACAGGAATAAAAGCAGGAATAAAAGAGAACTATGAAAATATTTCTTACTTTACCGAGACTTTTTTCCTTTTTCTCAAGTGATGTTGAACAGATGGTTTGCAACATTTAATTTTGTGGGACTTAAGGGCCTTTGGGAGTAGCCAGCTATGTTAAAAGTCAAGAAAGATGCACCCCTCAAAATCAGTTTCATTTGTTACCATCCACTGCCAGTAAACTGGTTCCAGTTGCTTCCATTCCAGAAAGGCTTCCAGCTGCTTGGTCTCAGAGTCCAGGAGCTGTAACAGCTACAGGAGAGGAGACAAAGGAAAGGAAATCAGGTAACCTTGGCCACGTGAGAACTACATGAAATGTGTGCTTAGACTGAAGGATATAAAGACTGTGAGTGGTACATGGGACAACAATGAGTGGCTTTATAAGAACATTTTAAAAACAGACGGGGAAACGTGAAGTAAAACACTTCTCCCAGTAGCACTGATTTATCCCTCACCCCAAATGTACCAACTTTATCAGCTTTTCCATACATAAATGTGAGTTTCCTACTGTTTTGAGGGAACAAGAGACACAGTTCTGATAGACATGCTTAGTGAATGACCAGCTTCAAAATTCCATGCTTCTTAACCACCAAAATAAGCTGTTTCTCCAGAAGTATTTTTCCCTGTCTATCCCTTCACTCTGAAACAGCATGGAAAAACTACCTCTAAAATGTTATGTATTTCATAAATTGTATCATCTGCTGTATCAGGAATCCCTCCCTTTGCCTGAGAGTACTCAAATGCTGCATTATAGGTACATAAATTATAATTTTTTTCACAAATATATGCATGATACACATGTATGCACACACATATATGGTGAAGAAGACATTCCAAGACTAAATATTTATATATCAGTAAAAAAAAAAAAAGGTCTTGTAAAGAATGATAAAGTAAACTAATTTGCTATAAATCAGAGCTCACCAGCTTTAACAATTTTGGTTCTGACCATACCTTTGAAACAAACAATTTTAACACCAATCTGACACCAAAGGCAACTTCTTAAGATGACCACAAAGAGTGTAGGGCCTTGAGGAGAGTGGTAAAGACCAGACCAGTACCAGCTAAATCCATTTTATGGATTACATTTTATACAGACAACTATCTTCTACTAGATTTGTTTAATTTAGTTACTTAGTACACAACATAATTTAAGTAAGTGCAAAGCATGAGTTGACTTTGCAATTTTATTATGCAGGTATTACCTAAAGATAAAGGAACCAAAGAAAGGAAACCACTTTGCAAGAGTAACTGCTGGAAATTTTATGCAGTTTGCTCTAAAACACTGCTGGATCCAAAATACAATTATTATACATTTGCTCACACACCAGACACTTGGCATTACACTTAATGATTCTGCTAGTTGCAAGCTCAGCTGGGATAGAAAAGGTGGAAGAATGGCTTTCTGTCTCCTTTTTTCTTTCTCCTTTTATTTTTTTTTTTTTTCATAGGTACATCAACAGCACAAATGGCTTAAATTATGGAATCTGAGGCTTGCAAGAAAACCCAGCCAAAAAGTTGATTAAATATTCAGGCAACAGTGAAGTTACTTGACTTTAAAGTAGCTCTGTAATGTGGTCATGAGCTGCATGTGATTACAGTATGAATACATCTTACTACAGCTAAAGAGGGCTGAAGGTTGGGATGGGGAGTTTTTCATTCTGAGCCTTCAAAAAAAGAGTGATCTTAATAAAAACACAGTCATCATCTTTATTCTCACCTGAATGTTAGAAGCACCATATGCCACTTGCTTTCACAGCACAACTGAGAGGATATGCTTCTGAAACATCACCATACCTCTACAGGATCTGCTGCAGTTAACTGACCTGAACAACAATCAAAGCTTCCTCAGCAGTCTCCTAATCTCAAACCCTTTGGGCTCTTTTGTATTTGGGTGCTCTTGTTGCCTTTTTTTTTTTTT